GTTTTTACTTGGAAATTTTATGCTGAAAATTGATTAAAACAGAATTCCGTTAATGTGCTCAGTAAAATCGAATGGAATATTCTAATAGAACTCTTCTGACATATTTCATTATTTACCTACCAGATGGAGTCAATATTTAGTCTTTCGATAGGCTCTCCCTCTTCGTCGAAGAAATAATCGATGGTGAGACTATTATGGGTATCGTGGGCTGAGGAGAAGTTAGTGACGCTTCTAGCTGGTATTCCCAGTGCTCTACAAACTAATCGTGAACAAGTGTTAATGATGATGTCTAGAAACAACACCATTATCATCTACCATATAAACTGCACCTTTTAATACTTGTGTGTTTATAGATTAATGTTTTACTGACAAACAATATCATCAATTATCAATTTAATATTTACCACAACAGGGACAAAAACAACCTCGACGTAAATTAAATAGTTTGATTAAAATGCGCGCATACATTTAATATATTTTCCTATAGAATATCAGTTTTAATTTTGACAGAGCTCACAAGGTGTAGACACTTGAACATTATATTCTCGTCACCTCCAAGGAAGATTACTCTCAGTAACAGCATTTAAGAATGGTTTATATACAGTATAAACTCCTTAGAATAAAGTGTCCTACTGTAAATATCTAACGGTAATCTTATTTGCTGTAGAAATAACTAACATCCAGTTTATAATCAGAATCGAATTTATTTGTTGTACAGAAGAAGAAACATAAGAAAAACGTCATCAGTTGTAAAGTCACACGCTAGGAAAACATATCGTCGCCAGAAAACATCTGGTAAAATGTCACCTGCTACACAGACAACTGAGAAAAACTTATCAGTGTGTGATCACAATGTTTCAAGTTTTAAACTTGAAGCTGCTTATGACCAGAAACGCCTAATGAGAAACTCAACTACAGTTAAAAGTAAAGAAAGAAGCTCACCAATGTGAATCACTTGAGAACAAACTCATAGATTGCATAAACCTACTTAATAAGAAGATTATAACCATTAGAAAGATCTGAGAAGTTTACCCGCTGTACAAATACAATAGTAAAATAATTCTCCATTATAATGCACCCAAGAAGACAGTTATTATAATGACAAATGTCTGAGGATATAGTTAACTGTTGTACAAACACCCGAGAAGATCGTTATTGTGATGACAAATGTCTGAGGATATAGTTAACTGTTGTACAAACACCCGAGAAGATCGTTATTATAACGACAAATGTCTGAGAATATAGTTACCTGTTGTACAAACACCCGAGAAGATAGTTATTATAATGACAAATGTCTGAGAATAAAGTTAACTGTCGTACAAACACCCGAGAAGATCGTTATTGTGATGACAAATGTCTGAGGATATAGTTAACTGTTGTACAAACACCCGAGAAGATCGTTATTATAATGACAAATGTCTGAGAATATAGTTACCTGTTGTACAAACACCCGAGAAGATAGTTATTATAATGACAAATGTCTGAGAATATAGTTAACTGTTGTACAAACACATGAGAAGATCATTATTATAATGACAAATGTCTCAGTATAGTTAAATCTTGTGTCTTCTTATTCACAGAACACAGTATCATCAAATCTTGTGTCTTTTTATAGATAGTACACGGTATTGCTAAATCGTGTGTCTTCTTATTGAGAGTACACACTATTGTTAAATATTGTGTCTTCTTATTGACAGTACAAAGTATCGTCAAATCTTGTGTCTTCTTATTGGCAGTACGCAGTATCGTTAAATTTTTTTTTCTTCTTATTGACAGTACACAGTATCGTTAAATCTTGTGTCTTCTTATTCACAGAACACAGTATCATCAAATCTTGTGTCTTTTTATAGATAGTACACAGTATTGCTAAATCGT